TAGATATGGTGAGTTGTATATAAATCTCTCTTGCTCTTTCTCTCTCTCCATTTTTCTCTCTCTAGCTCTCTTTTCTTCGTCTTCTTCATTGTTGTTGTTGATTAATTAATGAAGCTACTTGTATGTGATAATTAGCCAAAATTAATAGTCTAGAATTTTAATGTTGTTATTGCTGCTCATAATCGTTATTGTTGTTGTCTCCCGCCCCCTTTCTCCATATCTATGATGTTGCTGTTGCTGCTGCTGCTGCTCCTGCTCCTGATGTTGTCGTCGTCATCGCTGTTATTATTGTTCTCCCCCCCCTCTCTCTCTCTCTTTTTCTCTCTCTCTCTCTCTCTCTCTCTTTCTTTATTCCTTTTTATTTTTCCACTTTTCTCTAATTTTCCTCTCTCATACGTCCTTCCTAATTAGTCTGCCAAATTGAGGGGTTTACTCTGATGTTCCAAATACCCCCCCTCCCCCGCTTATTCTTCTTTGGAAATTTTGCCCTCCCCCCACGACCTTATGAAGACCTCCCAACTCCCCTCCCACTTATCAATTTTTCGCCTGAGAAAGTCGGAGCAAAAAGATATGCAGCAAGTAGCATATATAACTAGGCCCTCTCTTGGATCTCTATAAAAACTTGGAAATACAAATTCTAAAATTCTATCTCAATTTGTAATTCATTTATATTTTAGTATTCCTCGCACTAAGCATATGTAAAAAATAAGTACAAGTACTGTTTCGCAACCTCCCAAAATGTATGTGGACTGCATCTATTATTAAACGGCAAATGTGCCCCCAACCCCCTTTTTGGGAGGACTTCCGCAACGAGCGACCACTTTGAGACAGAGTAGAATAAAGATCTAGGGGTAGGGGTAGAGGTAAGGTTATGGTTGTTAGGTTTAGGGTTAGATCTAGGCCTCTTTTTTATTGCGTTTGTTGGGGTGGTCGCCTGTTACGGAAGTCCTTCCCCTCTTTCATTAATATCTGGTAAATGTGCACCCCCCCCCTTCATTTGGAACCTCAGAGTACACAGTCAACTTGGTTTCGTTCACCCACATTAGAACAATAACAGGCCTAATGCGAGTATGTTTACCGCGGCAGGCTATAAATAGAACTGGCTCTCTTCGCTTATGCCTGGCTTACATTGCTAGGTCTCTGTTTATTTTAGTTTTAGTAAGAGTTTTACGGCACTTGCAACACAATAAGGTCATATAAGTGCCGAAGATTAGGGGTGTTACAAGAGAATAACAAACACAAAATAGAAGGAGGAGAGATAAAGACGATAGATGTTTGATAGCATAAAAGGAGCAAACCACACCAGAGCACCCGCTAACCACCCACCCTAGGTCTTTGGTACATACAATGAACTACAGAAAACCATAACTTTAGACGGATTGCATTGCAGTAAAATCGCATCGTGTGAACGAATTCCCCAAACAAAACATCGATCCAACTGCGAGGTTTATCATCCACAGCCTCTGCAGCAGCTTATGAGGAGGGTTCTCCGAGAGTTCTCTCCCCTGTGGCCCTGCGCGCCACGACAGGCCCGACACCTTACTCTAGGACACACGACATCCCCGCTCATAAATCTTGTTGCGGTGAACCCCACCCCCACAATCTGGACGGGTTCAGAGTCTCTCTCTCTCTCCATCTCTCTATCTCCCTCTCTCTCTTTCTATCTCTCTCTGGGGGCTCTCGTGGCCTAGAGGTTAAGGTGTTGGCCTCTCATTCAAAGGTCCCGGGTTCGAATCCGGGTAGCGACCGAAAAATTTTCTTTTCTAAAATTGTCTCCTTTCACCTCCTTTCCTGCTCTCTAGCAATGTTCTGTTGTCTGCTTTCATTTCCACTTTCTGCCCCCACCCCCTCACCTCCTTTGCCCCCTCCTCTGGGCTCCTGACTCTTTCTGCAGCCTTTCTACTGCTACTCCTTGGCTCCTCCTTACTGCTGTCTTTCTGCCACACCCCTGATCTTCTGATAGGAAAGATCTACACCTAGCCTTCTCGGACAAGGGCGAAAAATCTCGGAGGGCCCGTGTGCAAGTTGCGCACGTTAAAGATTCCTTGGTGGTCTAAAATCGATAGAGTAGGCTTCGGCCGCCACCCGGGCAAAATTCACAATTTCCTACCAACTGAAAATATTAGGTGTGTCCCGCGCGCTCATATGACCTATGCAGTTGCAAGCAGCGCCGTAAAACACTATACAAAAACAAAAAAATCTCTCTTTCTGTCTCTCTCTCTTCCTTTCTCCCTCTCTCGCTCAATTTCTCTCTCTCTCTCTCTCTCTCTCTCTCTCTCTTTCTATCTCTCTGTTCGTCTACCCGTGTGTTTCTTCTACTTCTCTAGTCTTTCTCTCTGTCTGTGTCTCTGTCTCTCCTGTCTGTTTGTCCCCCACCCCCCTCTCTCTCTCCTGGTGACATCGTTAGTCTAGGCGACTCATAGTTGTGAGTCTGCAGGATCGGAGGTCTGAGGCTTAGCTCGGTACGACGTTGTATCCTCGGGAAAAGCACTTTACACCAATTTTCCCATCGGGCTTCGTCGTATCGGAGATGCACATTAAGCTCGGAGTATTGCAAGGAGCGTTAACTCGTTACAATTTCAAATTTCAACCAATCTCTTTCTCTCTCTTTCTTTCTTTCTCTCCCCCCCCCTCTCTCTCTCTCTGTCTCTCTCTCTCTCTCTCTCACACACACACACACACACACACACACACAACACCCACCCACACACACAAAATCGTCATCCCCTCTTAATCTCACCCTAGTCTTTCAGTCTCTTGGTTGGTTCGACCGTGCCACTATTAAATATTGGAATACTTCTGTCCTTTCTGTAAGTTGTTTCTGTCGAACTCGATTTTTTTCTCCTTCTTATAAAAAAAAAATCGGCTCTGTATTGTAAGGGCGTGCTTCTCTTTGTTCAGCACTGTGTTTCTATTTCTTCTTCCATCCCTCATTCTGATTCTGCTGTTCACTCCTTCAATAATCTCGCTCCCATTCACCCTAACTCAAGCGATTTCCGTATGCACGATAGCTATAAACCAATTACGTCCAACGACAGGGGTTTTAAACACATTTTCGGCTACCCGGGGAGCAAACTAAATCCGTTTGTTGTTAAAGCTATAATTTCAAATTTGGTTTGCAGAAAGGCGAGTATTTCTGTGAGTTGCAGGATGGTCTCTGTTTTATGTCACGCGGAGGGCCCTTGATGAGATTGACAATGCCAGAGAGAGAGAGAGAGAGAGAGAGAGAGAGAGAGACAGAGAGACAGAGAGACAGAGAGAGAGAGAGTATGTGTGTGTGTAGAGAGAGAGAGAGGGAGAGAGAGACAGAGAGAGAGAGAGAGAGAGGGCGAGAGAGAGGAGCTCATGGTTTAGAGTTTAGCGGAAGATAGGCTGAAAAAAATAAACAAAAGAGTGAGTGCGTGAACGAAAAAGAGACGTAGTTGGCAAATTTTTGAGTCGGTAAGTGAGCCAATGGGCGATAGGGTGAAAACCTAATGGAGGACGTCGATGAGCTTGAAGTTTTTTTTTCTTTTTGAGTTTAGTTTCAGTAGAGTTTTTACGGCGCTCGCAACTGAAGGTCATATGAGCGCCAAGGGGAGGATGTCAACACAGTAATCCTTACAGGGGCTCACCTCTCTAGCTTCAACAGCACAAAGTCTGCTTCGACTATCAAGGCACCCCAGGAATAGAAGGTCACACGAGTGTGACAAACATACAAAAGAAGTAGAGGAAAAATTAAGATAGTAAGGATTAGGAATGAAAAAGCAGCAGTTCCCCGTTGCAGTTCAGGCACAGTTATGAGCATGGCATTGATGATTCAGCCCATTTACAATTCTACTGTGCATAAGAAGATACTAATGCCCCCCCCCCCCCCCCCCCCTTGGGAACGGCCAAAAGACACTTCAGTCAGTAGCACCGCCCTGGGGGTAAGCTGGCAGTTTGGTTTTGAGTACAGAGAAGCACAAGCACATCAACATGATAATGTCCATTTAGTGCTGGGAAACACAGGATATGAAGGGGAGGGAAAGATGTAAAACCTTTGAGTTGTGCCATCAAGCAATACACAAGGGTGAAGAATTGAGATAGAGAGTGACAGAGTGAATGGGTGAGTAGGTGATTCAGGAAGTGATCGGTGGGTGAATAAATTGAGAGAATAAGTGAGTGAGTGGGTTGGTGGGTGAGTGAGTGAGTGAGTGAGTGAGTGTGTGAGTGAGTGAGTGAGTGAGTGAGTGAGTGAGTGAGTGAGTGAGTGAGTGAGTAAATGACGAAGTTACCGGCTGAGTGAGCGAAAGAGTGAGAGATCCCACGAACGAGTGAGTGAGTGACAGAGTAAGCGAGTTGAAGGGAGTCTCCATGAAATTGATAATTGATGACAACGAGCAATGGAAAAGTCCCTGGTTCGAGCGACGCAAATTGACATCCTGAGTACAAAACCCTCGATGACGAGAGAGGAGAGCGTGTGAACGAGTGAGCTGGCGCGTGCAAGACAAACTGAGGGTGTGGAAGAGAAGACGGAGGGGGAACGAGTGGGAGAGTGGCGAGTGAGTGAGTGAGTGAGTGAGTGAGTGAGTGAGTGAGTGAGTGAGTGAGTAAATGACGAAGTTACCGGCTGAGTGAGCGAAAGAGTGAGAGATCCCACGAACGAGTGAGTGAGTGACAGAGTAAGCGAGTTGAAGGGAGTCTCCATGAAATTGATAATTGATGACAACGAGCAATGGAAAAGTCCCTGGTTCGAGCGACGCAAATTGACATCCTGAGTACAAAACCCTCGATGACGAGAGAGGAGAGCGTGTGAACGAGTGAGCTGGCGCGTGCAAGACAAACTGAGGGTGTGGAAGAGAAGACGGAGGGGGAACGAGTGGGAGAGTGGCGAGTGAGTGAGTGAGTGAGTGAGTGAGTGAGTGAGTGAGTGAGTGAGTGAGTGAGTAAGTGAGTGAGTGAAGCAGTCGGTGATTTGTTGAGTGGGTAAACTATTGCGTTGTAATTTTGTAAATGAGAGAAGGAGTCTTCTTCTTTGCGTTCCCCTGCTGGATTGTAGGGCTAGTCGACTGCTGGATTGTAGGGCTAGTCGACTGCTGGATTGTAGGGCTAGTCGACTGCTGGATTGTAGGGCTAGTCGACTGCTGGATTGTAGGGCTAGTCGACTGCTGGTTTTTAGGGCTAGTCGACTGCTGGATTGTAGGGCTAGTCGACTGCTGGATTGTAGGGCTAGTCGACTGCTGGATTGTAGGGCTAGTCGACTGCTGGATTGTAGGGCTAGTCGACTGCTGGATTGTAGGGCTAGTCGACTGCTGGATTGTAGGGCTAGTCGACTGCTGGATTGTAGGGCTAGTCGACTGCTGGTTTTTAGACCTGTAGTGCAACTGATTTTTACATATACATGTATATGTATATTAAAAATATGACGGTTTGTCTTACTTCGCACTGAAAGGTGAATACCGTACCCCAAGACCAAAAGAGCCCACACGAGAGAGAGGGAGTGAATTCAAAAGAATAAAAGAGGATGGATACACAAGAAAATGAGAGAACGAGCAGGTGGGGAGATGGTTGAGGGCGTGAATGAGCGAACGAGTGAGTGAGGGAATGAGTAAGCAAGGGAGAGAATAAGAACATCATGATATCTTCTCTCTGGGGAAGTAATGACGGACAGCAATCGAGTCCTTCCCAGTGCGTGAACTAAGCACGTCCCAAGTAATGCTTCTTAGTGACACCCCCCCCCCCCAAAAAAAAAAAAAAAAGATTTAAAAAGCCCCGATTGCCTTAAGTGTCCTTTGTCCCGAGAGAGAGAGAGAGAGAGAGAGAGAGAGAGAGAGAGAGAGAGAGAGAGAGAGAGAGAGAGAGAGAGAGAGAGAGAGAGAGAGAGAGAGAGAGAGAGAGAGAGAATCAATGACTTGAGGAACTGTGTCAACTTCGTAGCAGCGGTTCACAGATTAGCTTCCAAGTAGCAGTCTCCATTAAAAGGAAGTCTTATTAAACCAGTAGAAAAAACAAAACAACAGAAAAAAAACCCTTAGATCTAACCGAAAACAAGTCAAACGAGAGCACAAAACAAAACAAAAAAATTACCAAAAAAACAACAACAAGCAACTGAACTCACGACAAAGAAAAATGTAAAACGAAAGGGCCTCACATAAGATCGAAAGACCTGAACTCTAAATTTACAATTTAAAAAAAAGGAGTAAAATTACCAAGAAGTAGGATTCAGGGCGGACAATTGGGGAATATACTAGCCTCGTAACATAAACGCCCGAAGTTCCATTCTAGCAAGTTTCAAAGCACCGGTTGTTTCAGAGAGCTTTCAAAGTTGTCTGATGTTCTCAGTTCTCAGTTCAATTGCAGAGGATATGAGTTAAAAAAAGAAGCTACCTCTATAAGAACAAATCAGAATCAGTTGCCGTGTTTGGCAAGGATACAATACAATTTCAAAAATCTTAAAGTTAACCACCCTCTCTCCCCCAAAAAGCAAGCAAAACAAAACAAAGATAATTCCCCCCCCCCCCCTCTCCAAAGAAAAGAAGCATTCTTATTTAGTTGCTTTTGTTTCAGTAATAGTTTTAGGTAAGCTGGCAGTTTGGTTTTGAGTACAGAGAAGCACAAGCACATCAACATGATAATGTCCATTTAGTGCTGGGAAACACAGGATATGAAGGGGAGGGAAAGATGTAAAACCTTTGAGTTGTGCCATCAAGCAATACACAAGGGTGAAGAATTGAGATAGAGAGTGACAGAGTGAATGGGTGAGTAGGTGATTCAGGAAGTGATCGGTGGGTGAATAAATTGAGAGAATAAGTGAGTGAGTGGGTTGGTGGGTGAGTGAGTGAGTGAGTGAGTGAGTGTGTGAGTGAGTGAGTGAGTGAGTGAGTGAGTGAGTGAGTGAGTGAGTGAGTAAATGACGAAGTTACCGGCTGAGTGAGCGAAAGAGTGAGAGATCCCACGAACGAGTGAGTGAGTGACAGAGTAAGCGAGTTGAAGGGAGTCTCCATGAAATTGATAATTGATGACAACGAGCAATGGAAAAGTCCCTGGTTCGAGCGACGCAAATTGACATCCTGAGTACAAAACCCTCGATGACGAGAGAGGAGAGCGTGTGAACGAGTGAGCTGGCGCGTGCAAGACAAACTGAGGGTGTGGAAGAGAAGACGGAGGGGGAACGAGTGGGAGAGT